CTCTCTGAGCATGGGTCTCTGTGGGTCTCTGTGCGTCTCTAGGAGTATGGATCTCTGAGAATGGGCATCTGTGGCTCTCGATGAGTATCGGTCTCTGTGGGTCTGTACGGGTCTCATGGGTATGTCTCTGTGGGTCTGCATGAGTCTCTTATGAGTATGGATCTCTGTGGGTCTCTATGAGTATGGGTCTCTTTGAGTCTGTATGGGTCTCTGAGTATGGGTCTCTGTGAGTCTTTGTGCATCTATGAGTATGGGTCTCTATGAGTATGGGTCTCTGCGAGTCTCTGTGCGTCTATGAGTATGGGTCTCTATGAGTATGGGTCTCTGCGAGTCTCTGTGCGTCTATGAGTATGGGTCTCTATGTGCATGGGTCTCTGTGAGTCTCTGTGTCTATGAGCATGCGTCACTATGAGTATGGGTCTCTGTGGGTCTGTATGTGTCTCTATGACTATAGGTCTCTGAATATGGGTCTCTGAGATTGTATGAGTTTCAGTCTCTAGGAGTGTGGGTCTCTGAGTCTCTATGAGTATGGGTCTCTGTGTGTCTCTACGGGTCTCTCGGAGCATGGGTCTCTGTGGGTCTGTGCGTCTCGAGGAGTATGGGTCTTTGTGGTATTCTAGGAGTATGGGTCTCTGTAGGGCTGTATGGGTCTCTATGAGTATGGGTCTCTGTGGGTCTGCATGGGTCTTTATGAGTATGGGTCTCTGTGGGTCTCGATGAGTATGGGTCTCTGTGGGTCTGCATGGGTCTCTGAGTATTGGTCTCTCTGAGCATGGGTCTCTATGAGCATGGGTCTCTGTGGGTCTGTATGGGTCTCTATGAGTATGGGTCTCTGTGGTCTCTGAGTATGGGTCTCTGTGGGTCTGTATGGGTTCTCTGAGTATGGGTCTCTGAGTATGGGTCTCTGGTAGTCTCTATGAGTATGGTTCGCTAGGAGTATGGGTCTCTGCGGGTCTCTCTGAGCATGGTTTTCTGTGGGTCTGTATGGGTCTCCGAGTATGGGTCTCTATGGGTCTGCATGAGTCTCTTATGAGTATGGGTCTCTGCGAGTCTGTATAGGTCTCTGAGTATGGGTCTCTGTGAGTCTCTGTGCGTCTATGAGTATGGGTCTCTATGAGTATGGGTCTCTGTGAGTCCTGTGCGTCTGTACGAGTATGGGTCTCTGTGGGTCTCTATGTGTCTGTATGAGTCTCTCAGAGTCTATATGAGTATGGGTCTGTAGGAGTATGGGTCTCTGTGGGTCTGTATGGGTCTCTACGAGTATGAATCGCCGTGGGTCTGTATCGTTCTCTATGAGTATGGGTCTCTGTGCGTCTATATGAGTATGGGTCTCTAGGAATATGGGTCACTGTGGGTCTCTATGGGTTTCTATGAGTATGGGTCTGTGGGTCTGTATGCGTATGGGTCTCTGTGAGTCTGTATTGGTCTCTGAGTATGGGTCTCTGTGGGTTTGTTTGGGTCTCTATGAGTAGTGGTCTCTGTGGGTCTGTATGGGTCTCTATGAGTATGCGTCTCTATGCGTCTGTAGTGGGTTCGAATTAGGTGCACACACACAGCTTGGAGGCAACACTATTAGAGCGGTAAGTAATATAACACTGTACATAAGGTGGTGACCACCTTCCTCAACTCACTAACACTCTGGAACACTATACAGCGTGACCCAGGCAGGCAATGGGCTGCCTGGTCCCGGACGACGACCCGGGACATAAGGACCGATGATGTCATCTTCACTTCGGGGTTCAACAGCCCCGCTCTGCATTCACACCCTGCTTATAACCGCTCAGGCGTGGCCGGCTCCCCCCAAGCCACGCCTCCCTTCCCCCACCTCTGGGAAGGTACGGGTCCTCCACCACGTGACCCCCAGGCACCCCCTTGGGGCCCCCAGCCCTCGTACGGGCCGACACAGCAGTGACGTCCTATGTCACTACATCACCCCCCCCCCCCCTGTATAAACACACAGCCGTCCCGGCTGTAACACAACTGTGAACCATCGAAAAGGTGTGCCTCCAAACCAGCAACATCAATAAATAACCGGCTACCAATAATAAATACATCACCTAATATACAGAGAATCGACGAGGGTAAAAGGAGGGGAACGCATGGAAAACGGGGAGTTAACAATAATTATACATGAAAACTGGCTAACCCGCTTACTCTCCAGCACAGCCTCCCCATGTGAGAATCACGCACGCACCGACATGTGAGTGTGGCTATTGGAACGACGGCGTAGGCAATGAGCAAGGCGTGTGAGAGCCATGTAGATCAGCCAGTCTTCCACGAGTCCATATGGACTCGTGGAAGCAATACTCACTGGGCCATCCTGGTCAGTATCTGCGCCCCAAGATATTCGACAGCCAGCACCACAATTCCAAATCACTGGCAGCATGTCACCATCGCAATTTAAATGCTCCATACCAATGACGGCAGAGCCACAACCAAAGGCAGTCATCCCCCACACAATCGCAATTGCACACCATCACAATACATACAATTTGAATTAGGATCCCCCACTGAATTGATCCAATTCCGAACAGGTACGCACAATTTGTGACGATCCCGAATACCCAATGGTCACAACAATACACCTCACATCCCGTATCCGTACACATCATCTCCGAGACTCGCATTCCAGCATGCAGCTGTACCAACCGAGTTGAGAGAGTAACGCAATTCGGCGGCAATTAACAGAAACGCACCCCCAATCCATGTAGAACACAAGGGGCATTCCCGCACAACAGACATCATCTGTGCAACAATGGACAGGAACCAACCAGTGAGTTCGAAACACAGCGAACCTGTCATTTCAAAATCCCCTTCAACATTAAAGAGCAAAAGAAATACACAAAACGCCCAATAATCGCCGAATGGGGTAATACAGTATATGCAGTCTGCATACAGCCAACCATCACAAGCAATGCTCCATACAGTCTATACACTGAACAATCACAGCACAGCTATACATTAACAATGACGAACAAAGTTTTCCACAGTCGCACATTGACAACACTCACAAGCGAAGCTCCATACTGTATACCCAAAAACAATCGCGACTCCGCAACAGCAACCAAACAAAGTGTCAACAAATCATTAACCCGGCAATCCACTGGATCTTAACGCAGCCCGAGACCCCCCACCTAGCCGAATTAATCATTAACTGGCTCCTTAAGATAACAATCCCGATACCGTAATTAACCAAGAATGTAACACGTGGACACCCGACATGAACGCCACGGACAGACGCAAGTTATGAAAAAGCAATTGGGGCGCCCCGCATCCCGGCGGGAAAACAATAAAAAAAATAACACAAATTCACAAGCCGGCGCACGCAAGATGGATGAGGTGTCAACAGGGGCCGGTGTGTGTCGTGTCACGCCTCGCCTGGCAAGCTGTGAAGAGCGGAGGGTGGCAAGGTGGAGCACTGGGACGCCCCGAAGAATCTTGCATGGTGAACACGGACTCCTCTTGCGACTGCAGCCGCCACCCGCGTTCGAGCAGAAGAAGGGGCGCCACTCGAACGCGTGGAGCTCTGCCTCCATAGGTGTTGACGTTGGCGGGAACGGCGTTTTGGTGGGAACAACGTCCCTGCCAGCCACCGAAATGGCGGCCCCACCGCGTGGCCCGCATGCCCGGGCTTCCCCCGCCAGCCCCCGCAGCGATGACGGCGTCCTCTCCCCGTGGCTCCGGCGCTCCGTTAATTCATTGGCAAGATGATGCAATTAACGAAAACGAATGACTAAAATACTTCTAACAATCGTATTCATGTAACTCGACGGGCAGCAATGATTTTCACGATCAGTTGATATTTGACGCACTTTATCATTAGTCTTCTTATTATTAGTCCGGGTATGTGTTCATGTGGGTGTGGTGGTTTGTCTCCTTGATCAATTATTTGCGTTGTAATGTGTGAGTGTGGGCAGATCATACTAACAGCTTGGCTCTCCCTCTTTCTCACGGGCGGCCACAGTTTCTGTCGGTGCGCGATGATCCCGTCGTCAGATAGCGCCCGCAGCTTGTCCGCTGGCAATTGACACCCTTGCTTGGTGACGCTGGTGGCGCGGCGTGCTCTCTCCTGCTCCGTGCTCTCTGGCGGTGCCGATTGCGCGTGCAGCTGGTTCTCTGCGATGCTGGCTTGGTTGATGCTTGGCTCTTTCCGCCCTTTCTCGAGGCTGATTGCTTGATGCCGCTCGCCAGTTCAACTCGAGCTACAGCTGCACGTGGGAGCTGGTACTCGCTATAAAAGTCATGCCCCAGAGATTGCCCGTCGCAGACCACTTCTGTAGCTGGCAGTTGTCTTCTGTAGCTGATGGTTATCTTCTGTAGCTGGTCATCTTCTGTCGCTGGTCGCAGTCTCCTGTAGCTGATGGTTGTAGCTTGGATGTATGGGTCGTGTCTTAAGATAAAGATCCTTTACGGGGAGGATTTTCACCTGTTTTCTTTTATTTTGTTTTATTTTATCTACGTGACTTTACCGAATAAAACCAAAGAGTATGAATCCTTGCAGTCACAAAAGCTTCAAATCTAGAATTAATAACCTCTACGGAGAGGATTTTCACCTATGTTAGAACTTTTCCACCTGAAGACAGAAGCTTGTGTTGCCTCCAAAACGTCGTGATTTAATTGTTTTATTTTGTTTTATTTTATCTACGTGACTTTACCGAATAAAACCAGAGTATGAATCCTTGCAGTCACGAAAGCTTCAAATCTAGAATTAATAACCTCTACGGGGAGGATTTTTACCCATCTGTTAGAACTTTTCCACCTGAAGACAGAAGCTTGTGTTGCCTCCAAAACGTCGTGATTTAATTGTTTTATTTTGTTTTATTTTATCTACGTGACTTTACCGAATAAAACCAAAGATTATGAATCCTTGCAGTCACGAAAGCTTCAAATCTAGAAGCCACAGATTTTCCAATAAATTCTCGTCTCGGTTTAATCCACCAAACAATATCCACTGACCACACCACAAGTAAAACAATAACGTAACTCTGAACAAAAATATGAATAAATTAGGACGGTTTATTAAATGCATTGTATCCAAGGAAATATGTACAGCAATAGACTAAAAATATGTATCACGGAGGGAGGGTGGGTGGTGTGGTGATGGCAGTCGTGGTTTACACCAATGCACCACCACCACTACCACCACCCCTACTATGGTGTGGACCGGCCACCGCACAGTAGCACGCATCGGAGGAGTGAGCGTATTGCTCTCCCCACACGAGCCATGCTGCCTCGCTTCTTATTCATTTCCTTCATCTCCTTTTCCTCCTCCAACTTCTCAAACACCTGCACCATCATCTCCTCCACCACCATATTTCCCCCCTTGTCCTCCTCCTCCTCCGGCTCCTCCTCTTCCGGCTCCTCCTCTTCCGGCTCCTCCATCTCCTCTGTCTCCTTCTCCATATCTTCTTCCTCCTCCCCGTCCATCTTTTCCTTTCCCATCTTCACCTCATTCTCTAACTTCTCAACCTCCTGCACCATCATCTCCTCCACCACCATCTTTTCTTCCTGCACCATATTTCCCCCCTTGCCCGTCTCCTCCGTCTCCTCCGTCTCCTCCGTCTCTTCATCCGTCTCCTCATCCTGCTCCTCCGTATTCTCTTCCTCCTCCACATCCGTCTTTTCTTCTCTCATCTTCACCTTCACCTCATTCTCCTCTAACTTCTCAACCTCCTGCACCATCATCTCCTCCACCACCATCTTCTCTTCCTCCACCATATTTCCCCCCTTATCCATCTCCTCGTCCATCTCCTCGTCCGTCTCCTCGTCCGTCTCCTCATCCGTCTCCTCGTCCGTCTCCTCGTCCGTCTCCTCGTCCGTCTGCTCGTCCGTCTCCTCGTCCGTCTCCTCATCCTGCTCCTCTGTATTCTCTTCCTCCTCTACCTCCGTCTTTTGCTCTCCCTCATTTTCCACCACCTCTGTTTCCTCTTCAGAGGCCTGGGCAAGTGAGGAGGTGGGCTGCACCGGTTTCACTCTGTGAAGACACACGCACGACACGACTCCACCTTTTTGCTATGGCAGAGATTGCAGTCACCTCCCCATCTCCCGTTGGTGTGGCAGATTAAACCGAGCTTAATAACAATGAAAAAAATTGAGTACATTTGATGTCAGAGCTGTCATTCTGATGAGACAAGATTATCATTAAGGAATGTGCCACTGTCTCATACAGTCTGCTGTAGTGTCACAGTAGCAGGTAGCGTTGTTTTGTAAATCCAACTAAGTCATTTGTCATGATTTCTTTTTGTTATTATGATATATTCTAATTGGGGCAAATATGACCCCTGGCACACAATGGCCTACTCGTTTTGAACGAAATTAGGGGAGATCTTCAACATCCACTGCAAAGGAGAGGGTGCATCATGTCTTGACGTCCCGCCATGGCAATAATAACCATGGCAGAACGTCAAGAGTGCTGCCGCTGGGCCGCATCACCCACGCACGATTGTTGTAAAAATATCTGATGGTGATTCGTGTTAGATAAAGCTGCCCATCTTGACTTCGATGGCATCTCAGAGTGCTTTACAACGCAATGAGGCACTTACATATCACATCTCGCACCTCAACGCATTTTACGGTGAATGAAGGGTTAGATGATGAAGATATGGCCGCATGGTTATGTGGGCTCACCCAGAAACCAATTATGGAAAATAAATCGGTCTACAGCTGAATGTACACGTGGGGTAGGCTGGAATACACTTGTGTTCTCCCGTTCTGCATGGGTTTCCTCTGGGTTCAGCAGCTTCTTCCCCGAAACTGAACCCACAAATACAATACAACTGGTCTTGGACCAAAATCGACCTCTAAAGCACTCAATTAGGATCACACAAAGCAACTTTGTTCCCTATTTCAAACAAAACTTGGCAGGGCCCTCTTGATTATTTTGTTTTGAGACTCAATTATGTACATCCTGGGTAAACAAGCGTAGTAATAATGATACAAAATAATAAACACATACGCAGGACACATGCAGAGTTGCTTACCGTGGCTCAGCGGCTCCAGACTTTGCATCGTATTCTCCGGAGCCCTCTTCTCTGGATCTCAGCACGATCAGGCCCTGCACACTGCTAGCAGCGGTGGTGGTAATGGTCGTGCTGGTGGTAGCCGTGTCTGCCCCTTGATCATGGACCTCAGCCGTGTTCTGAAGCCAGCTGTGTGCGAGCGCCTGAGTGGGAGTCATCCGAAGGTTTGGATCCCATCTGTTGAGAGACACGCGGGGGCACACGTGGTGAGAGGCACGTTTCAAGGATTTACGATCCTTCCCTTCTTCCACGAGGTCCAGGAATTCTCACCAGCAGCGGGGAGTACTCCACTGCCCAGTAGCCTAAAAATGCACCTAGCCTGCCACTGCCCAGTAGCATCTTTCATGGGCCTCCTCCACAGACACCGATCTTGACACTGCTGGTACAGGTCATCGGCAGGTTCACTCAGCTTTACATCCTCTTGTACCACATCAGCTCCACCTCTTCTGTGACACGGCTCAGCGGTGACAACGTGGCCCTGACGTACCACATTCTCCACATGTTGTAGAGTTATGTGATTAAAATTTTGGACTTTCGGATCCGACGAAGAGGAAGAAGAAAATGTGGGTCTAGTCTCTCTAACGATCACTTGAAGGAGAGTGACTGATATGAGTATCCTTGTGGGGAGGCGTGGGAGAGAGGGATGGGCAGGCGGGAGGTTGTCTTACTGTATCTACTGTAGGCAACAATGGACACAGTCCACCAACTCTGGGCCCAGGAGGTGATGAGTAAGAATGAGAGGGTGGAGTTGGTGATCGATGGAGAGTAATCACCAATCATTTGGAGGAGATTGAGTGATGGGGAATCCTCGTGGGGGGCAGCAGGGGGAAGATGGAAGAGGGAGAGGGGGGCAGTTCTTACTGGAGGCAGAGGCTGATAAAGTCCAAAAACTCCGTGTCCTGGCTCTTGAGCACAGAGCGTAGTGGGAAGCTCCCCGGCAGGTTGTATGGTTTTTTCCAACCACCTGCAGGAGCCATGCACAGCGGAAGAGAGAGATATACAGTTACAAACCACATCACCCACCTACCCACCCACTCACCTACCTACCCATCCCCTCCACGGCCTACTCAACAACAACAACAACCGCCATTCGCCACTAAGTGGCAGTGACATCACCATGGCGCTTGTACCAGGCTATGTGCGCTTTAAGACCACCTGAAGTGTCAAAAGCCCACTGGCAGGTCATGGGACAGACTGACTGAGATGACTGGCTGTGGTAATTAAATTGAAGGTGGAGGGGTTACCAGCCCCTATCACACATTGGCCTCAGTGGTGGCTATGAGCCCCATGAGGGGAATAGCATATTGAAATGGACCTTCCCTCCGTTGGCATTGCTTACCACAGCGCTACCGACCGGTACCACCTTTGAGGTATGGTGTTGTTTTGCCGGACTCATTCACCTACTCACCCACCTAACCACCCACTTATCCCTGCCACCCCCTCGCCCCCCACCCACGCCTACCCATCCACCTACCAACCCTCCTACTCAGAAAAAAAACATCACTGCAAATCACTCTGTTGGAATTACGCAATAACAGCTCCAAGCCACCCCTTTTAACTTACCAAAGTATATCAATCCGTAAGGAGCGGCATGTATGAAGTTTCTTGGGGGCATACCCAGCCTCTGCACACAGTTCAGACAAAGACAGAGGTCAATCATAAAGCCTTAGTAGACTGTTGGGGCAAGTGCTGTAAGCAAGTAGCAGCATGTATTGAGGCTGGAACTGTGGCACACAAGGGCATGGTTGATCACATCGCCCCAGGTACTTCACACACCAAACTAGGTACTTATTTGAAGCTGAGTTGATCTCGGAGAGGCCTAGGGACCAGTTCAGATCATTTAACTTTATGGCAGTACCCCGGGGTACCATAGTACCCTGGTTCTCGCATAATGTCCGTAATGCAATAATTTTGAGTCTGGTGATGGTGGGCGATGCGGCAATTGACTCATCTCAACAAGCTGTACACGATGCACTATTAAAAGTTGCATTTTTCGAGAATGGATTTTTTTATGCTAATGTTTGGCGTTTCGACATCGCGGAGTAGCACTGATTTCGGGTTCATTGGTATCATAGTTGCGGAGTTAAGTACACCCCTGTAAAAAATAGTGTCCCAGAAATAAAATATTTAATTGCCTCGGCCATTTTGTATTATTTGGTACCCTGGTGTACCGCCATGAGGATCAATTGCTTCCACCGGTGCTGGTGGTGGCAGTGGCCATGAGTGGGAATCAAACTCGGGTCTCTGCTGCGTTCGTAGCACAGTGCGGTGCGTTAACCACTGCACCACACATTCTATACACATAGGCAAAGACAAATATCCCCCATATAGCCTTAACATACTTTTGGTCACACACATAGACAAGACAAGCAAAGACAAACACGTGTACACACATGTACAAGACAAAGATTCCCCGTATAACCTAAACAGACTTGGGGCAAGTGATGTTAGCGAGTAGCACCTCTGAAGGCTGACACGCCACACGAGGGGGGTGGGTGGCCAACACCATGCCCGGCCGCCTTTGTCTCCCTAGTGGTGATGTTAACACAATGCACCAGGTACTCATTGGAGGCTGAGTCAACCTAGGGGAGGCCCAGGACCGGTTCAGATAATCGTCACTGGTGTTGACTGTAAGCCGGTATCGAACTTGGGTCTCCCGGTTCGTAGCGCACCGTGTTAACCGCTACACTACCGTGTACACACATGTACACACACACACGTGTAAACACGCACACGACACACAACAGCTATAATTCGCCAAATCACCATATGGCCCCCCTAACCCACGAGCGGATATTATGTGCGAAATACCTCCATGCAGGACAGAAGAAAATCGTCTTCGTTGTTGGGCTGGAATAATTTCTTTCCAGTGGCCATCTCTGCTACTATGCAGCCCAGTGACCAAATGTCGGCAGTGCAGGTTAAATCATAGCCCAGCAACATCTCCGGAGCTATGTATGGCAGGGCATCACCATGTCTGGCTGCACAATCACAACAACAAAAAATGCATGCACTGTGCTCACTTAGCCTTTAACAGCATCGTCATCACACATGCACAGTCACATAGATACTCACACACAGACACTCATACACAGATGCTCACACTCAGATACCCACACACAGACACACAGATACTCGCACTCAGATACCCACACACAGACACACAGATACTCACACAAAGACAGACATAGACCCCCATACACAACAGACACACGCAGACACTCAAACACAGACACATACACAGACAGACATAGGTATGCACATTCACAACAACCGCCATTCACCACTAAGTGGTGGTGACGTCAACATGGTACTTGTCCCATGCTAGGTGTATTTTGAAGACGTGAAGTGTCAAAGGCCCACTGGTAAGTGGTCACGGAACAGACCCAGGTGCCATGGGTTGACTGACTGAGATAACTGGCAGATGCACCAACTGTGCTCTCCACTGTGCCAACTCATTACATTTTAACCGCCCGGCGCTCCGCTCAATGTTGTGAGGGCAACTGCCTCCAACTACCCAGCAGGGTCCCTCACAAGCCTCCTCCATAGAGGCTGATCTTGGCACTGCTGGTAAAAGTCATTGGCAAGTTCAATCAGCTCCACATCCTTCTGTACCACATCAGCCAATCTGTTCTCTAGCCCGTGCCACACCCGTTTAGCCCTATTTATCTGGCTGATCAAAAGCTGCCTGGGGATGTGGTGGCTGGGCATTTTGGCTACTCACACACAGACACTCACACACAGATGAGGTTACTCACGTTGACTTCCCACAATAAAGCTGGTTTTAAAATTCATGATCCTAATGGTGCCAGCCACGGTGTCTTTGACCATGATGTTGTTCTAGAAGAGAGGCAGATGGGATTCACACTCAGAGGTTATGTTGATAGAATTCAGCCAGCAGTGGATCGATCATGTACCACAATACATATTAAACAGGGTAATCAGAAGAGGTGGCGCGCTCTTGCCAAGCATTAGTCTCAGTGACAATCGCTGTTTTCTGACAGCTATCACTGGGGGTACCCCTTTCACGTTCGTTAAGATGAGAGATGCGAGTGGCTTATTGCGTGTTAATAGCTCTGAGACATTATCGAAAAGGGGATGGCGCTATCGACTACTGATCCCCGTTGCTCCAATAGTAGAGCTGAACGAAGTTCACAGCTGTACGAGTGCCTCTTTATGAGTCCCGAAAAATCACCGATAACGCGCATGGATTTCGTGACGTTTTCCACCATGCATTTGCCTTTCATAGTTTTCCATTCGCAGCATCGAAGCTAACGGGCAACCAACAGGTCAAAACACGTATTTCGTATATTTTGCAAATTGTCGTTTTAGCTCCGGTTCATGTCTCCCAAGTTTTGGCCAACGCCGTGATCAATGTCGCCAGTTTTCTCTGTGGTGAGTCCCCAATAGAGACATGCCTCTTCACCAAAGTCTAATTTATACCGGATCATCTTCACCAGTTTTACTGTGACCCTGCCTCCTTCCAGATAGACAGACGGGCATAACACATTAACCTTGTGATGGCCGTTTTTCTCTCAGGTACAACACGACTCTTCGCCAAAGACACGTTGAACACCATGTTCACTTACTGGCCTGATGGCTGCGTGGACGGCCTCCTTTAACTCCATATGCTTCAGGAATGTGAGGATTTCCCTGGTGTATGCTTTAATCAACGCCATATCCAAGCCCCGGAGCCCTGCTTCTTCAATCACTTGCTGGAGACTCTCCCTGTGAGAGAGGCAGTGGCAGCAGCAACAACAACGATGATGCAGCATCAGTACCATCCTGCAATGCTACGCTGATTCTGATAAGGACAATAATATTATTGTCCATGCAAGTTCACGACAAATATTATTATTCTTTATTTGCACCTTATTCCAAGGCACATGCCAGCATTTGTAAAAATTGTACATGCTGTCATTGTGGTTTAGATAAAGAGTGGGATTGTTAAAAGTGGTGGTGTGGTTATGGCGACAGGACAACATGCGACAGGTTGAGGGGTTGTGATACGCCTGGTTGTAGCTGTAGGGGTAGTGATAGAGATAATGATATTGGTAGGGGTTGGGGACAGCCTGGTCCTAGCAGAAAGGGTAGTGATAGGGGTAGTGACAGTGATTGAAGTAGACTTGATCTTAGCTGGGGGATGGGAGCAGGGTGTGTGCATCTCGCACATCCCTACTTATTTTAGGCTGAGACCTAGGGGAGGCCCAGGACCGGTTCAGATAATCGTCACTGGTGTTGGCCGTGAGTGGGAATTGAACCTGGGTCACTAGGTTTGTAGTGCAGCATGCTAATTGTTACACTACTGCTCCCTTACTCATATTCTGCAGAACAGCGGGGAAGACACAAACTAAACACAGAAAAGCACCCGAGTTGAGAATCGAACCAAGGCCCTTCTCGCCGAGAGGTATGAGCGTCACCACTGCGCTGTCATCACCCTGCTTATGGAATGGGGTGTGGCTAGGTGAACAGGGGAAGGGTTGATAGAGAAAAGAGGGGCCTCCAGTGCAACCACGCGTGTGTCCTGGTTGAGCTTCCTAGACACATGGCAGCGCCACGGTATTACAATGTGTCGATGGCACAAGTATCAAAAGTAACCACGCTACGGAGGAATATGCAGTACGTACTTCAACAGCTCCAGCACGATGCAGTAGTGCCCTCTGAAAGTGAAATCATCCAGGACTTTGACGACATTGGAGTTCTGGTTATAGTCTTTGCGTTGACGTTTCATAGCCCTCTTGAGCCCCATCTCCAATATTTTATCCGTGGAGCTGCACAGAGGAAGTCCACAAGTTACTCACTTAGACTTGTGTAAAGGATGCCCAGAAGTAAAGCCTATTCGGAAATAAATATATACATATACATTCACTGGGTCTAACGACTTTGTGAGTTTGAAGTGCTCAACTTTCATTACCGAGGAGCTATCACAGGGAAAGTGGCCGACATATGGCACGCAATCGGATTTGAAGGTAGAGAGCCATTAAAATAGGATTCTGCATATGTATGCTGAACTTCTTATGAACTGTACATAGCCAACCATGCTAATCGGAGATGCGTGGGAAGGACAACAAACTTAACACAAAAAGCAGTTCTAAAGAAATTCGTTTTCAATTTAGATTTAAAAGTACATAGTTTCAGTGGCTTTCTAACATCGGAAGGAAGAGCGTTCCAGATGGTCACAGAAGTGCATCTGAAAGCGCGAGATGCAGTGACCCTCTTTGTTCAAAGGCTAACCAAAAGCCGCTGCGAAGATTGGTCATCAGAGGAAACTTAATGCAAATAAGGGGGTCAAGTTGGGAGAGACTGAAGAAATTAAGGATTGGTGGTGGAGAACCATTGAAAGTTCCAGAAAGGTTGGGGAAGAGGATACAATTAGCTAGGGAGAGAAGGGAGTTTGGGGTGCTGCCTGAATAGAGTAATTCCCTGATGTGTGACTGTGATTAACTTGAGCCGGCTCCGAGCGTGGTCCAAGGAATGCTCAGGATTTTGTAGGAGCTGACCCTGTGCCGAGCTATGGCTGAGCTGCTCAAGCATATTTAACAGCAGCCAAGTGACTCAAGCCAGAGCCTAAGACTGCGAGTTCGAGGCTGAGCTAGAGCTGAGCTATGGCTCTGAATGTGGGTCTCATAGTGCAAGGCGAGCACCACTAAGGAAGGCGCTATGTTTCACTGACAAGAGTCTGCAGTAGTTGCACAGTTGGCGCCAATGTTATTTATCACAGTAGTTGAGTAATGTGGAGGTGATTTTTCAGTATTGGGATGTTTGGTCCAATACCAGTTACACTGTACGTGTTTTTTTAACCTTGAGGAAGAAACTAAAACTATTAAACAAAACTATTTTTAATTTTACCAGGTAAGGCCCACTGACCTATATAGCTCTTTTTCAGAAGCGACCAAGTGGCTTATTACATTATAGCAGACAAATACTCTAAACGCATGTTTCTCAATGTGGAGTAAAAAACTAGAGGACCCGGAGAATATCCATGCTGCCACGGGGAGATCACTCCAAATATATAGGTGTCATTGAACCCACGACCTCCTACATACCAGGCGAGGGAGTTAACATCTCGCCATGAGAAACTGGAGAACACAGAGGGAACCAATGCAGAAGAGATAGAGAACATACTAACTCTACAAAGGAGGGCGCCCAATTCAGGAGTCGAACCCAGGCCCACTTCTCGCTGTGAGGCACGAGTTTCACTAACACATAGCCTCATTACGGTGCCTCTGTGGAGCCTTACGTTAAGGGTGTGACGAACATCTTCACGATCACGATGTTATTTGTCTTGTGGTCACGACACTCGATGACCTGGCCTTGACCTCCCACCACAATAGTCTTGAGCACCTCATAACGGTAGTTGAGGTGCACATGTGGGTCCTGAGCGACAATCAAACAGAGGTCAGAGGTGAGGGCACCAACTCCATCATCAACACTCATTCACCTCCCTTGTTAATTCAGTGCTCAGTTGGGACAGGAATGTCACGGGTACAATTTAATAACCTGATGCACAGTTGTGATTAACTGAAGCACGGTACATTTTCTTTGTGTGTGTATGTTGATAGGAGAGAGAGCTCTATCATGCTGCGAGTTTTCATGCTTGGCTGGTTGGCAGACTCTAGATTTAAAGCTTTCGTGACTGCTAGGATCCATACTCTTTGGTTCTATTGGGTAAAGTCACGCAGTTGAAAATAAAATAACAAAAAATCACGTTTCGGCCACAACACAAGCGGCCTTCATCAGGTGAAGGGACGAGACTGTCTGGAGGACAGCGCTGGAGTGAGAAAAGCCTTTAAGCTAAGCTTAAAGGTCGTGATCTAAGCGTGGCTTTTCTCACTCCAGCGCTGTCCTCCAGACAGTCTCGTCCCTTCATCTGATGAAGGCCGCTTGTGTTGTGGCCGAAACGTCGTGATTTTTTGTTATTTTATTTTCACCTACGTGACTTTACCCAATAGAACCAAAGAGTATGGTTGGCAGACCATACACTGTGGCTGATGATGCTGTGTGCAAGGACACTGCACGTCATCACGCAGTCAGTTATTAAACAGTTTGTGAGGATACTGCACGTGATGATGCTGTGCATGATGATGATAATAACGCCTGAAGTAGCAATCAGGGCAGCTGCCCTGGTTTATACTTCAGGTGTAATAAGAAACCACGAACCCTGCCACTGCTGGGTTATGTGACCGCCCAAAGGCAAGTGTTTTGTGGTGACTCTCACCACAATATAATTATGCTCTTCATCGTCGTAGCCATAATTATTGATGCCCCGGGAATCGTTGTGGAACGTAAAGTACCAGATGTCTTTCATGACGGCAAGTTCTGCCTTCTCTCGGCGAGTTAGTTGAGGGCCAATAAGACCCAGGATTTCTGTGGACATGAGAAACACAATAACTGTAAGTATATTTTATCTAGATTTGAAGCTTTTATGACTGCAAGGATCCATACTCTTTGCTTCTATTCGGTAAAGTCACGTAGGTAAAAAATAAAATAACAAAAATCACGACATTTCGGCCACAACACAAGTGGCCTTCATCAGGTGAAGGAACTGTTCTGTCATGAGGACAGCATTGGAGTGAAAACAGCCAAGTCCAGGTCGCGTCCTTTAAGCTGTGTGGGAGGAAGCAAAACGCTTTGACAAAAGAATTAGCATAAAAATTAGCATGATGTACGTAGGAGGTGCATGGGCCATGATGGACCAGGAGCGGGTGGGGACCATGACGGGCCAGCAGCGGGGGGGGGGGGGGGGGGGGGGGAGTAATTTGAATCAGACGCCATCCAGACTTCCACCCTCAGACCTTCCCTGTGGAAGAGATATGTGGATGACACTTTCATCATTTGGCCACATGGCCTCCCAGCTTTGAACCTTTTCCTACACCACATCAATTCTAGACATCCCGCCATCAAATTCACCATGGAAGTGGAGAAAGATGGCAAGCTACCATTCTTGGATGTTCTGTTTGAGAGGAGACCTGATGGCTCACTGGGGGATTCTGTCTACAGGAAACCCACCCACACAGATTCCTACTTGAAACCTGATTCCCACCACCACCCAGCTCAAAAGAATTCTCTCATCAAAACGTTATACCACAGGGCACATTGCATTTCAGACCAACACCACCTGACCACTGAATTAAAACATGTACACCAGGCCCTCAAGAGAAACGGATACTCTGACCGTACCATCCGCCAAGCTGTTTCTCCCTCCATACAGAAACAACCACTTGATACTCCGGTCAAAACCATCACACTACCATGTATAGCAGGCATTACTAAAAAGATCTCCAAAATTCTAAACAAACACAAGATACTGGTCCGGTTCAATACAGTACACAAAATCCGTGACCTGATCCCATCCGTGAAGGATGTTGTTCCTGACTTACAGTACCCCGGGGTTTACAAATTGAGCTGCACTTGTGGTGATTGCTATATCGGGGAGACGAAGCGACATGTCTCTGACTGAATTCGCGAGCACAAATCAGATTTGAAACACGGCAGAACGAATTCTTCTGCCGTAGCTGACCACTGTTACAATGCTGTGGGTGATCACGATATAGTTTTCTCCGATACCAAGGTTCTCTGCAAACCCACGGGTTTTTATCAGAGATTTGTCCACGAGGCAATTCAGATTTACAAACACAGACATAATTTCAACCAAGAGGATGGTTTCAAATTAAGCAATCATTGGAAAGATGTTCTAAATCAAACCAAACATTAAACTAATTTTCAATGGTACAGTAAAAAAAATTTCAAGTAGTGGTATCCCAAACTTTCACAGCTGCTTATTTCTCTCCACTCACTCACTCCACTCACTCACCTCACTCCACTCACTCGCTCCACTCCCCCCCCTCCCCGCTGCTGGCCCGTCATGGTCCCCACCCGCTCCTGGTCCATCATGGCCCATGCACCTCCTACGTATATCATGCTAATTTTTATGCTAATTCCTTTGTCAAAGCGTTTTGCTTCCTCCCACACAGCTTAAAGGATGCGACCTGGGCTTGGCTGTTTTCACTCCAACGCTGTCCTCATGACAGCACGGTCCCTTCACCTGATGAAGGCCATTTGTGTTGGGGCCGAAACGTCGTGATTTTTGTTATTTTATTTTTTACCTACGTGAATTTACCGAATAGAACCAAAGAGTATGATATTTTATCATCGAAGTGCATTTTTCATAGGACAGCCTTAATGAGTCTCAAGACTCCTTCTCAGGAGGTTCCTGCAGATCTTTTGCAGAATGGGAGCAGTGCTGGTGCTGATATGTGTGATCCTAAGTTGAGGAATTTGTTAGTTAAATATTTCAGGATTGGAATGTTTTGGCCAGTACATTGTGTGGTTATTTTTGTAGTGATGGGATGAAACTGGGATACCCATATGCCCACACACACACTCACACACTCTCACTCCCTCACGTTCTTCAGAACTGGGGAAGAATGTTTCAACTACACACAGGAAGGTGCTCGAATCAGGAATCAAACCCAGGACCTTCCTGCTGTGAGACACGAGTGTTGCCATTATGCTTCCACCCTGCCACGTAAAGTAGCTTACGTGGCAATTGATGTTTCTTTGTTGTTACAGTACTGAGGCCACCGCATAGATAATCATCAGTTTGTAGAAAGTCTGGTAGACTATGATTGAACAATTATTGTAACCATCATGTGAGAAAAAAGTAAATATGGGAGTTCTAACTAGATTTGATGCTTTCGTGACTGCAGGAATTAATCTTTGGTTGCTAAACCCTGTTTAATTTAGTGTGATGTTCCATCTCTCTGTATCCCCTGGTATATCTGTGTTAATTCCCCCTACTCAAGGTCTGTATATATATCTGTGGTTATGTGTTTCCTCTACCTGATGATGATTGCTGGTGTTGCAATCGAAACGTCGTATATAATGTAATTTTCTTTTTCTTTTTCTTATTTCTACGTGACTTTACCGAAAAAAACAAAGATTAATTCCTGCAGTCACGAAAGCATCAAATATAGTTTGAACTACCTCTTCGGGGAGGTATGAAATCTATGTCTTTGTGTTCTATGCTGGTGTGTCTACCTTTGTGTCTTGAATTAGATTTATGTCGCTGTGTTGTCTCTACCTATGGTTGTGTACCTGGGTGCCTCTAAGTGTGCGCTGCTGCGCCCCCCTCTCTGTGTGTGCCTGACAAATGTGTGCCTGACAACTTATATCATGCAAATTTGTGTCCCATTGTCTATGAGCCCATCCCTCCTCCATGTCTGGCCTTCTTAAAGCCTCGAGACAGAGTTAATTTACTCCTTAACTGTGCGCGTGTCTCTCCCCCCATAGGTCTCTCTACGGTAAGTATTCTATCACTATCTTAAATTTCACACTTAACTTACAATTTAACAATCTTTGAAACAGCGTATTCAACAAAACCATGCGTTAATTGTGTTTTAACCGACCGTCTGTGTTGCTTTATATAGTTTCCAAATTTTGCTCAACCCTGTTTGATTTAGTGTGATGTTCCATCTCTCTGTATCCCCTGGTATATCTGTGTTAATTCCCCCTACTTAAGGTCTGTATATATATCTGTGGTTATGTGTTTCCTCTACCTGATGATGATTGCTTGTGTTGCAATCGAAACGTCGTATATTATGTAATTTTCTTTATCTTATTTCTATGTGACTTTACTGAAAAAACCAAAGATTGATTATGGGAGTTCTAGTTAAATCAAAACTCTAGCTTCCAAAAGAGCGACTGCTAGGCTCTACATTATCACTCTCACTGTACCAGTCATTCAGCTGCTAATCAGCATAAAAATACATATCCCCCCATGCAACATGGCCACCATGATGTTCCTCATGCAACATGGCCACCTTGATATCACCCATGCAACATGGCCACCTTGACATCACCCCTGCAACATGGCCACTGTTACATTCCACATGACTATTATTACCTTTGGGTGATTTTCTCCGGATGGAGGTGGTACCCGCAGTGTCGCAAAACCCGCCATTTCTCCCACCTTTAGCGTTGCTCATCTACACAAAGACAAAGGTTCCGCACATAGGATTCAACAAGGTGTTGAGTTAAGTGCAGTAGGTGAGTACTGAGCAAGCACCGATGAGATCTGGGCTCTACATTTAGGAGGGTCCTGCTGATAGTTCAAAGTTAATGTGCAAGTTTATTGATGGGCTATGTGGTATATTGGTGTGGTTAAGGACTGTTTTGTTGTTGTTTTTGCTGCCTTTCCCAATATTAAATCTTGACTTAAAGCTTTCGTGACTGCAGGAATTCATATTCTTTGGGTCTTTCGGTAAAGTCACGTAGATAGGTTCAAATTAAAAATAAAAGAAAAAACTAAAAAATGACGTTTCGATCACAACACAAGTGATCGTCATCAGGAAGAAAACAGAGGGGGAAAGCTGCTGAAAGCAGACTGTTTTAAAAGTTTAAAATGGGTGTAGCCCAAGGGTCATAAACAAAGTGGGTGGGGCTAGTGATGTTAATATGAGAAATTAGCATGTTAATGTAAGATCGGAGAGCGACCTCCACGGCGAGCACGCTGAGGTGGCTATGTTAATGTGAGAGATTAGCATGTTAATGTAAAATCGCATAGCCAATGGCACGTGGCTACACCCATTTTAAACCTTTAAAACAGTCTGCTTTGAGCAGCATTCCCCCTCTGTTTTCCTCCTGATGACGATCGCTTGTGTTGTGATCGAAACGTCGTCGTTTGTTTATTTATTTTTAATTTGAACCTATCTACGTGACTTTACCAAAAGACCCAAAAAATATGATTTCCCATTATTGATAAATAAGACTTGTATAATTAATTATTGATTTAAAGTTACTGACTTACTTTCCATTTTACTATTTGCACTCCAATCGTTTTTTAGATTGTTTGCTGTTGTAACTTGCTGACCCTCCCATACTGGACATCTGTGAAAACAAGCTTCGTAGGTCACTGGATTCTTCCAGTCTAAATAAAGAATCTGTTTCTGATGTCAAATCTCAGCATTGGAATGTTTGTCTGATATCAAGATGCCACACCTGGATTTACATTGAGACAGAAAGAGGAACACGTGGATTGGAAGACACACAGGTTAATGGGATCATTCAAAATGTTAAGAGAACTGAGTGGGGCTGCGGCTGGGCCAGGACACGCCACGGCCAGAAGGGATGGTGATGGTTGATCGTCAAGAATAATAACAACGAAGTGACAGCCAATAACAGAGTGGCAGGAACGCATCTGAGAAAACGTCCGCCATCGAGATGGAGCAATGAAATAGGCTCATAGAATGCAGAGCATGCGCTGGCCAGATTATTTAATCGCTAGATTGTGAGAGGTGCCAGTGGCTCGAGAAGGGATGCCTTCATCCAACAGTGGATAGATAAGAGTGCTCTAAATGTTTATACAAAAATAGACAGGCAGGTATACAGACATGATCTCAGAAAGACATTCTGATAGAAACACACACACATCCACATGGGTAGGCAAGCAGAAGCACACCCAGGTAGACAGGTAGGCGACAGGCACACGGATGGAGTGGAGAACACACGTTCACTTCATACTTCACCGCGCGAGTCGAGGGACCTACACGTACCTCCATGGCGGCGACTTGCAGAGCAGCGTTGCGTACAGAGCTCATGTCGTTCCTCACGTCGTCCGGGTCTGTGCGTGGAGAGCGGGGGAGGGAGGACAGGGTCACGCAGAGTCGAGAGTGCGTGACGTAACTGGTTCCCATGCCACAACACGAATCAGGTCACAGCACGGACTCACATCATCAACACCGACTGATTAGCATACATCACCATAAACCCACATAAATAACATGGACTTGCATCATCGATACGGACTCGCATCAACACGAACTCACGTTATCAGCACGGACTCACATCATCAACACAGACTGACATCATCACCATGAATCCACAGAAACAACACGGACTCACATCATCACCATGAACCCACATGAATAACGTGGACTCGCATCATCAATACGGACTCACATAATCAACATTAACCCACATCAGCAAGGACTCAGATCATCAGCATTAATCCACTTCAATAACACGGACTCGCATCATCAATACGGACTCACATAATTAACACGAGCTCACATCATCACCATGAACCCACATGATTAACAAAAGTACACTTTATCAGCACAGATTCACATCAACACGAACTCACATCATTCAGCACGGAATCATACCATCAACATGGAATCACATCATCACCACGAATCCACAGAAACATGGACTCACATCATGACCATGAACCCACATAAATATCATGGACTCGCATCATCAATACAGACTCACACACTCAAGATGAACCCACATCATCAGCAATAACCCACAATCGGCACGAATCCACGTCATCAACGCGGACTAACATCTTAACCATGAACCCACATCAACACGGACTCACCTCTTCACCACGAATCCACATCATCAACACGGACTCGCATCTTAACCATGAACCTACATCATCAACACAGACTCGCATCTTAATCCCCACATTGTGTGTGTAGTGAGTGTGTGTAGTGAGTGTAGTGTGTGTAGTGTGTGTGTAGTGAGTGTAGTGTGTGTGTAGTGTGTGTGTGTAGTGTGTCTAGTTATGTAGTGTGTGTAGTGTGTGGTGTGTGTAGTGTGTGTCTAGTTATGTAGTGTGTGTGTAGTGAGTGTGTGTGTCTTTAGGCCATGTCCAAGCAAAATATCTAGTAACGGGAGTGTGTTGTTCACCTCCATTTCCACGGTGAACTGGATGGCCGAGTTTTGTGCATTGGGATGATTTAGAAAATAATTAAGTGTATCTTTACCATGTGGCCAGACAACCAAAGTGTCATCCACATATCTAACCAAAAAGATGGTTTTAATGTGCTATAGCAGGAGATAAGGGAGAGCCATTGCTGCTCCTTCCTTTTGTTTAAAGAAATCCCCTCTCCATAAGAATAAGTGTTATTTAAACAATGGTTAAGCAAGTTTCGGAATATCTTTTGGTAAACCTGTATTCTTTACTAGTGTATCAAGTAATTTAAGCGATTCGTTCACTGGAACCTTAGTGAATAGAGAAATCACATCAAAACTTACCAGAATATAATTAGGGTTAAGTTTAATATCTTTAATCACATTCACAAGATGTTCTGAATTTCTTATGAAGATGTCCTACCGATGTGCTCACCACAGTGATCTCTACATTGGGCCAAACTTAACATCTCTTAATGTTCGACGGCTTGTGCACCAGATCTTATTTATTCACGATGTACTTACAAAAAAATCCACAGACTACCTGCTGGATCTCCTCTCTGTTTCAAAGAACGAATTAGACCTCAGGTCTTCGCTCATTTACCAGCTTCACATTCCCTATTGCCGTACAAAAACTGGAGGAAGGGCCTTTGCTATTGATGCCCCCAGGGTCTGGAATGCTATTGCCAATAAACTGCAACTTGAATTGCTATCAATGAGATCTTCTCTCAAAATTGCTCTAGAGGAGTTGTACACCCCAAGCTGCCACTGCTATTCATTGGCGTAAAATAAAATAAAATGTTTCGCTCCGGATGATGCTGCAAAGTATTATCTGTATTTTTATTTAGCGTGCTGATCTTAAAGGTGCATTGAAACATTTGATACTCCGACTGATGCTTCTGTTGTTGTGGAGTAACTCATGCAGCCAGCTATGGCTCTAGGGTTTGGTGTTACATGTTATGTAGTTTATTGCAAAAAAAATCGGCCAGAGTCCCTATGATCACTGTTACATTGCAATTACGGCTTTAATTTTGGGTGATTTCGAAAAGTTTTTTAGTTTGGACGTGTGTTTGTTGTAGTACGGAGTTAGACTGATGGCCTTAATCGAAGTTTTTCTTGTGGTTGTTGTTGACTTGCATGCTACTGGGATTTTTGCACACATCGTTGGTGTACGGTGTTTTTTCAGGCATATTTTGCTGTTTTTTTCATGGATTTTCTGTTTGTACAATCACATAGTCACTTTAAGATGTTTTCTTGTTCGTGTTTTTGTTTTTTGTCTGTTGTGGTTCACCCGATTCAATAACCGAATGGCTCAAAGGACTATACCAAATAAATAAACTAAATAAAAACACAGACCCACACCCTCACCAAGAAACCACAATATGGACCCACATCCTCACCAAGAAACCACAATATGGACCCACATCCTCACCAAGAACCCATAACATGGACCCACATCCTCACCAAGAACCCACACTACAGGCCTACATCCTCACCAAGAACCCACACTACAGGCCTACATCCTCACCACGAATCCACCATCCTCACCTCGAACCCACATCCTCACCACGGACCCACACACTCACCAAGAACCCACAACATGGACCCACATCCTCACCAAGAACCCATAACATGGACCCACATCCTCACCAAGAACCCACACTACAGGCCTACATCCTCCCCACGAATCCACCATCCTCACCTCGAACCCACATCCTCACCACGGACCCACACACTCACCAAGAACCCACAACATGGACCCACATCCTCACCAAGAACCCATAACATGGACCCACATCCTCACCAAGAACCCACACTACAGGCCTACATCCTCACCACGAATCCACCATCCTCACCTCGAACCCACATCCTCACCACGGACCCACACACTCACCAAGAACTCACAACATGGACCCACACACTCACCAAGAACCCACAACACGGACCCACACACTCACCACGAACCCACAACACGGACCCACAACACGGACCCACACACTCACCACGAACCCACAAACCCCTCATCACTCACCCCACAATCTCCTCACCTCGTACTGAGCAGCCGTCTCCCTTGCGCGCCAACGTCTCGAATAAGGGCGGGGCGAAGTCACGCGGCGCCTCCACGTCATCGGTGACGTAGCCCAACGAGCGTTAGCTCCTCCTCTCCTCCCACCATCCGTTAGCCCCCCCCCCGTCACCTCCCCAACCACCCGTTACCTCCTCCCCCCTTCCCCCAACCCCTCCCCTCAAACGCCCGTTAGCTCCTCCCCCCTTCCCCCCAACCCCTCCCACCCAACCGCCCGTTAGCCCCCCCCCCTTCCCCCGCTAAGCTGTCCCCTTAGCCCCTGCTAGAGGCTACACGGGGGATCGTTGTCTGTGTGTAGGTGCTGCTACACGCTACTACTAACAGCACTTGCCCCGACAGCCTGCTAGAGGCTACCTGGGGGATCTTTGTCCGTGTATAGTTGCTGGTACTCGCTACTACTAACAGCACTTGCCGCTACAGTCTGCTAGAGACTACACGGGGGAGCTTTGTCTGTGTATAGGTGCTGTTACTAGCTACTACTAACAGCACTTGGCCCGGCAGCCTGTTAGAGGCTACACGGGGGAGCTTTGTCTGTGTATAGGTGCTGTTACTAGCTACTACTAACAGCACTTGCCCCGACAGCCTGCTAGAGGCTACACGGGGGAGCTTTGTCTGTGTATAGGTGCTGCTACTCGCTACTACTAACAACACTTGCCCCGACAGGCTGCTGAAGGCTGTATGGGTCACCTTTGTGTGTGTGCAGTGTGACAGTATTCCTGATCGCCCAGCGCCTTGCACTGTCCACTCACGCCTTGATGAGGTGGAGGAGGAAGGAGGAGGTGGAGGAGGTGGTGGGGGTGGAGCAAGAGGAGGTGGTGGTTGTAGTGGTGATATGCGGGGATGGGTGTGTGTGTGTACGTGAGTGAATCTGAGTCGGTGTGTGTTAGGAAAGGTCCTGGCAAGGATTATTCAGCATCGCCTTGCCAGGCATGCTGAGGAGAGGCTTGCGGAGCCCCAATGCGGTTTCAGGAAAGGGCGGTCCTGCACAGATGCCATATTTTCTGTCCGTCTGCTACAGCAGAGGTGTAGGGAATTCCAACAAGACCTACATCTCTGCTTTATTGACCTGGTCAAGGCCTATGATACCATCAGTAGGCCTGGGCTCTGGGTCGTTCTTCGTGCTTTTGGAGTACCTGACCCTCTGCTCACGATCATTAAGGACCTTCATGATGGTGAGCGGGCCCGGGTAAAACTACGTGGCCGGGAGTCAGAGCCATTCCCTGTACACCTTGGGGTGCGACAGGGATGTCCTCTGGCTCCCACATTATTTAACATCTATTTTGACCACGTAGTTCGTGAAGCCTTCAATAGCTGTACCGGGGGAATCTCCATATGGTACAGATATAATGGGAGGCTGATCGATGCCCGGGTGCGGTCAAGGGATGGCTCCCTATTGCTCAACCACGTTATGTATACTGATGATTTGGCAATAGCTGCTCAGTCAGAGGAGGAGTTGGAGACGCTGCTGCTGAGACTGGAGCGTGCCACTAAGAGGTGGGGCCTTACCATCAGCCCCACCAAAACTAAGCACCTGCCTGGGTATTTTGTACCATCGGACACTCCACCCCCACAACTCCCAATCGGTGATGGGGCAGTTGTGGAGAGAGTAGAGAGTTTCCCATACCTGGGCAGTGTGCTTATGACTGGCTCCAGTTTAACAGCAGAGGTCTCACTCCGAATCAGTCGAGCGGCAATATCTTTTCATCGGTTGCGTAACGCTGTGTGGAAGCTACCTGGTCTGTCGCCCCGCACTAAGCTTCAGGTCTTCTCGGCCACGGTCATTCCCTCCCTTCTCTACGCTTGCGAAACGTGGACCCCCCTAATGGAATATCTTCGCCGGTTAGAAACATTTAGGCTGGCCTGCCTACGATCCATCCTGGGTTTAACCAGACTGGATTGTGTGAGGAGCTCACAAATCCTTGAAAGATCTGGGCAATGTCCCATCGGTGAGCTCCTCCGGCGGGCAAGGCTGCGATGGCTGGGTCATGTAGCCCGCATGCCCAGCCACCGCATGCCGAAACAGCTTTTGTTCGGCCGGATTGAGGGGGCTAAGCGGGCGCGCACGGGCTAGAGAAGAGATGGAGTGATGTGGTACAGGAGGACGTGGAGCTGAGTGGACTTGCCGATGACTGGTACCAGCGGTGTCAAGATCGGCCTCTGTGGAGGAGGCTCGTGAAGGATGCTACTGGGCAGTTGGAGGTAGTCGCCCTCCAACAACAACGGAGGGTGGAGGAGCGACGCTCAGAACAACGAGCGGAGCGCCGGGTGGCTAAAGCACAGCAGGTTGGCACAGTAGGGGGCACAGGCGGTGTATCAGCCAGTCATCTCAGTCAGTCGACCCGTAGCACCTGGGTCTGCCGCGTGACCTGCCAGCGGGCGTTCGACACTTCACGTGGCCTCAGGGTGCACATAGCCTGGCACAAGCGTCGTGGTGATGTCACCGCCACTTAGTGGCGAATGGCGGTTGTTGTGTGTGAGTCAGTGATCGAGGGGGCTAAACGGGCGCGGCACGGGCTAGATAAGAGATGGAGTGATGTGGTACAGGAGGATGTGGAGCTGAGTGGACTTGCCGATGACTGGTACCAGCGGTGTCAAGATCGGCCTCTGTGGAGGAGGCTCGTGAAGGACGCTGCTACTGGGCAGTTGGAGGCAGTCGCCCTCCAACAACAACGGAGGGCGGAGGAGCGACGCTAACAACGAGGGGAACGCCGGGTGGCTAAAGCACAGCAGGTTGGCACAGTAGGGAGCACAGGTGATGCATCAGCCAGTCATCTCAGTCATCTCAGTCAGTCGACCCGTGGCACCTGGGTCTGCCCCGTGACCTCCTGCCAGCAGTCGTTCGACACTTCACGTGGCCTCAAGGTGCACATGGCCTGGCACAAGCGTCGTGGTGACGTCATCGTCACTTAGTGGCGAATGGAAGTTGTTGTTGTGTGTGTGAGTCAGCGAGTGAGTGAGTCAGCGAGTGACTGTGCCAGCGTGCAAGTGAGTCAGCGAGTGAGTCAGTCTGCCAGCGTGGGAGTGATTCAGCGAGTGAGGGCGTGTGCCAGCGAATGAGTGTATCAACGTGGAAGTGAGTCAGCGAGTAAGGGAGTGTGCCAGCGTGCGAGTGAGTGTGCCAGCGTGCGAGTGAGTGAGTCAGCCTGTGGTCTACCTGGGGCACCTTTCTCTTTGCTATCTTGCAGCGTGTAAGATGTGTACCGTGCCTCTCTAAGACAATGCCATGTGCGATGATATTGTGGCCATTAACACTAAGAGTTATGCCATTTTTGGAATGTGCCATTCACCTTTTAAGGTGGGGGAATTGTTGCTCTTTGCTTGTTTTAGAGATTATTAAATCACCTTCGCCCCCGCATGCCATCACTGCGCCCCCGCCGACCGTCTTGCAAATGGTACATCCCAGCGTTTAAGATTGACTGTGCCTATGGGTGGAATGTACCACTTGTGATTGTTGGGGGGGGGTAAATTGGTATCTCCCGTATTTAGGCTGTCAGGTCGCCTGATAACGCGTATTGGTTGAGTTTAACGCCTAACATCTCACCCCCTTATCTTGCGAATGGCACATCCCAGCGGTCTTGATTTGAAGCCTTCGTGACTGCAAGAATCCATACTTTTTGGTTCTTTCGGTAAAGTCACGTTGGTAGAAATAAAATAAAATAAATCACAACGTTTCGAACGCAACACAAGCGTTCGTCTTCAGGTGAAAATCGCGATAGCTGCGATGTCTGCTGCCTTGTGAAGAGAAGCTGTTACCAGGATATAAGTTTTGAGAATAAAGGTATCCGAAATAGTGTTAATGGGGTATTATAGTGTAAAGGTAATAAATAGCGTGACATGTTAAATGAAATTAACTTAAATTAGCATGTTGGATTATAGTGCAAAGTTAATGAGCTTCCATAGCTCATAAGAGCTCAGATTAGCATGTAGGATTAGCATACGTATTTTGATGAGAGAAGCATGTAAAAGTTCATTTTAAAAAAAATTAGCAAGTTAATGTCAAATTTTGATTTAAAGCTTTCGTGACTGCAGTAATTCATATTCTTAGTTTTTTCGGTAAAGTCACGTTGATGAGATACAACAAAATAATAAAATATATATAATATATAATAAAATATATAATAATATTATTTTGTTGTTTCTCTTCAACGTGACGTTACCGAAAAAACTAAGAATATAAGTTAATGTCAGTCTATGTGCAACAAAGAATAGCATGTTAAAGTTAATGAGTAAAGTTAATGAGATTAGCATGGAAAAGTCAATGAGAGATAAGCAAGTCGATGCAGCCATGCCGGTGGTTGCATGTCCATGTTTGACAAAAGCAGCCGTGTTAGCGATCCAAAAGATGGCCGTGCCAACGCGTGAGGGTGCGGAGCTCGCTCCTGCTGCGATGCTGGCTGCTGCAGAGCTGGCTGCCAGCTCAGTAGCAGCCAGCTCCGCAACAACGAAGCTCTGCAGCAGCGAGCTAAATTGTCAAGCCGTAACTGCCAATTATTGGAATGGACCACTTGTGATTAAGGTGGTGGGGGGGGGGAGGGGTGTAAATTGCTCGAGAAGGTTCCTTGCCTTTTAAGCGCTGAGAACCACAATTACCCACTGCATTTTTTGTGTTGGTTTATTCCACTTTAGACCCCCTCCTCCTCTATTAATGGTATATTCCAGCATCTCAGTTTTAACTCTGCCTATTACTGAAACGTACCATCTACGGTTAAGATGGGGGTGGGGGAGGGATTGGTAGCATTGCAGCTTATACATTACTATCGTTTGCCGGTAGATATCACTCCCCCCCACCCCCCCCCTTTTAACTAATGGTACTTCCAGGCATCAAACTTTTCGTTATTATTGGAATGTACCACTTGTGAGAATAGATTTTCCCCTTTTTTGGCAACAAAACAGGTGTTAAGATTTTGATTTAAAGCTTTTGTGACTGCAGGGATTCATATTATTGGTTCTTTCGGTAAAGTCACGTAGAAGGGAAACAATAAAATAATAAAAATATAAAACAATAAAATTCAGGTGTGAAAACCACAGCAAGAAAAATTTATTGCTGTGGTTTCCACACCTGATGATGATTGCTTGTGTTGCAGTCGAAACGTCGTGATAATTTTATTGTTTTATATTTTTATTATTTTATTGTTTCACTTCTACGTGACTTTACCGAAAGAACCAAGAATATAGGTGTTAAGATGTTAAAAAAACAAACTGAAACCTTTTACAAGGAATCATGTGTGTATTAACCACAATACTTGTGGTCAGAATGCAAACAAAAAACATACTCTGATAGCATATGCATTATCTTTGAAATTGATTGGTGTGGACCAATCAACACCTGTTTTGTTGCCGGAAAAAAGAGGAATACCTATTCTCATATTTTGGTACTGGCAAAGGAGGTCCCATGATGTATCACTTGTGTTTAAGGAGGTAAATTTATTCGGTTCAACGTGTTCTTATCGTCTATGTAATGTGTATTCGTTGAGTCCACTTCCCCCTCCTGTTTCACCGCTCTTCATCCATTCACAGAAAATACTTGTGCAAACTATTCTACTTTTCTTATTTCTGGGTGGTATTGTGCTTCATCCTGGCCCAAATATAAAGAACTCGTATAATTCTGTAGATTTTTCTGGCAGGAAAGGTGTTGGTGTTCTACATGTCAATATCAGAGGGCTTGTGATTAAATTAAGTCAACTAAAACTAGAAGTGGCAAATCTTGACCCAGACATTTTTTGACCAACAGAAACATTTCTCACTCCTGCCGTCAATGACTAAAGATTACGATAGACAACTATAACCTTTTTCGGCTTGACCGAGGATCTTAAGGAGGTGGAATTGCCATCTATGTTCGTAAAACTATTGCATGATCACCAGCTCACTCCTTCTTTAAAAAATGTTGCTTTGAAGGTTTGGCTCTCAGAATAACTGTTCCAAAAAAATCAACAGATATTGGTAGTGTGCTGCTATAGACCACCTAGTGGGAAGGATGTTGAAGCTGCATCTGCACTGAGAGAGCTTTTTGGGGGCCTCCCTAAAGGTGAAATAGTTTTATTGGGTGATCTAAATTGGAATTGGCTAAACCCCCAGCCGTGGCCACAAATTTTACAGATGAATTTAACCTGTTTCAATTAATAAATGTCCCCACAAGACCCAACCTAAAAAATCCGGGACATTCATCTCTGCTTGATGTCCTATTGATAAATGCTCCTCACAATTTCACACTGACTGGTGTTCTGGGTAATAACCTTAGTGATCACTCCTTTATTTTTGGTGTGAGATCATCAGCCAGACCCAAAGCCCCCCCTAAATTGGTTGAGAAGCACTCTATGAGACACTTCAGCACTCAGGCATTTACTAATGATGTGCTTCACTCGGATATTGACAAGGTCTGTGATATCCCCAACCTGACGACGGCTTGGGAGACCTTCAGGTACACGTTTCTCCAAATTCTTAACAATCATGCTCCGTTGGTTAGATTTAAAACGAAAGGTAACCACCCACCATGGTTTGATCCTTTGATTACAAAGCTCATGAAAACTAGGGACAAGGCTTGGGCATGTGCTCAGAAAAGTAATTTGGTCAATGACTGGCTAGAATACAGGATTTTAAGGAATAGATGTGTCAAAAAAAATACGCCATGCAAAAAATGCCTACTTTTCCTCCACTCTCCTGGAATGACATGGAAATGTCAGGATTTTCTGGAAAACAATCAAATGTATCGAAAAGGCATCCAAAACAGACAATCTGCCCATTGAGCTTAACCGAAATGGGGAATATTTTTCAGATCCCAAAAAAATTGTTGACAATTTTAACCTTCATTTTTCTGAAGCTGGTAATCTTTTTGATAATGTATTGGGAGTCACCCCTGCTCATGCAAATTCCTACACCCCTGTCCAAACATTAAACGAATTTAGTTTCCAGCCAATCCACGAAAGTAATGTTCTAAAACAACTGTCCTATCTCAAAGGGTCCTCCTCTACCGGAGCAGATAGTATTCCTGTCTTTGCTCTACTAACTGTTGGTCACCTAATATACAAACCTATAGCCCATATTTTCAACCTGTCCATCAAAGAAGCATCAGTTCCTCTAGAATGGAACATTCTTATGTCCGTCCATTTCACAAAGGGGGCCCTAAAGATGATCCAAATAACTACCGACCTATCTCAATTTTGTCCCCGTTGATGAAAATTTTTAAAAAAGTATTGACCTACCAAATTAGCAGTTTCCTGTCCACCAACAATCTACTACATCTAAAACAATCTGGGTTCCGAAAAAAATACAGCACCACATCTGCTGCATTAGACTCTCTGAGAATCACATTTACAGTAGCCTTGATAATAAGCAGTACTGTGCCTGTCTTTTTCTAGACCTGTCCAAAGATTTTGATACAGTAGACCACAACACCCTGCTTAGTAAACTAAGTTGCCTCGTTTTTTCCGAAAACGCAGTAAAATGGTTACAAAATTACCTCTTTTTTCGCACCCAAACTGTATTCACAGATGGTTGGAGGTCAAACAGTGTTAAGATAACAAAAGGGGTTCCACAGGGTTCCATCCTCGGCCCCCTTTTGTTCTCTCTTTATGTCAATGACTTGGGCACTGACCTGGATCATTCCAGGGTAAATCTTTTTGCAGATGACACGATACTGATTACTGCTAGCCGCTCTCCAGATGACGTGATTGCTAAGCTACAGGGTGATTTCAACAAACTACAACATTAGCTAGTTGCTCTTAAATTAGTCCTGAATATCTCCAAAACCAATGTGCTATGCTTCTCACCAGGACTAAAGCAGGAAGTTATTTTCCCCAATTACATTCCTTAAATAATTGTCAAATAGAGCAAGTCAAGATCTATAAGTATCTTGGGGTCATCCTGGATTCAAAACTGAATTTTGAAGATCACATTGATTATATTGGTAAAAAGACAAAAATAAAAATTGGTTTTCTGTATCGACACAAGCACTGCTTCCCCCCAATGTTCCGTTTGGGATTGATAAAAGCTACCATACTGCCTCTACTTGACTACTGTGACATCGTGTATAAATCAGCCCCAAGTACTGTACTGAAGCTTGATTCCGTCTATCACTCGGCCTTAAGATTTACATTGAACTGCCCATATAGGACTCACCACTGTGATCTCTACATTGGGTCAAACTTAACATCTCTTAATGTTCGACGGCTTGTACACCAGATCTTATTTATTCACGATGTACTTACAAAAAAATCCGCAGACTACCTGCTGGATCTCCTCTCTGTTTCAAAGAACAAATTTGACCTCAGGTCTTCGCTCATTTACCAGCTTCACATTCCCTATTGCCGTACAAAAACTGGAGGAAGGGCCTTTGCTATTGATGCCCCCAGAGTCTGGAATGCTATTGCCAATAAACTGCAACTTGAATCGCTACCAATGAGATCTTCTCTCAAAACTGCTCTAGAGGAGTTGTACACCCCTAGCTGCCACTGCTATTCATTGGCGTAAAATAAAATAAAATGTTTCGCTCCGGATGACGCTGCAAAGTATTATGTGTATTTTGATTTAGCGTGCTGATCTTAAAGGTGCATTGAAAAATTTGATAGTACGACCGATGCTTCTGTTGTTGTGCAGTAACTCATGCAGCCAGCTATGGCTCTAGAAATTGGTGTTACATGTTATTTATGTAGTTTATTGTAAAAATTCGGTCACAGTCCTTGTGATCACTGTTACGTTGCAATTACGGCTTTATTTTTTGGTGATTTGGAAAAAAAATTTGGTTTGGACATGTTTGTTTTGTTGTAATACGGAGTTAGACTGATGGCCTTAATCTAAGTTTTTGTGGTTGTTGTTGTTTGACTTGCATCCCACTGGGATTTTTTGCACAAAGCGTTGGTGTATGGTGCTTTTTTCAGGAATATTTTTGCTGTTTTTTCCATGGATTTTCTGTTTGCACAGTCACATAGATGTTTTTCTTGTTCGTGTTTTTGTTTTTTTTGTTGTGGTTGCACCCGGTTCAAGAGCCGAATGGCTCACAGGGCTATACCAAAATAAACTGAAACTGAGAGGGATGGAAGCCCTTCCATTAGAGCTGCTCACAAAGATCATGCATGGAACCTCCCTTGTCCGGCCATTTACCCAGCGGGGAGGACAGCTGAATGTGTTTAGAATCATAACGCAACACTCGTATAATCTGGACGTTGCTTTCAAAGCACTTCAGCAGATTCTATTATTATAATTTGTGGTTAATCATTCCATCTCGGTGTTGTTGGTAGTGCATGGACCAGAGGCAGCAACAGTAAGACCACAACTGCCTGGTGCTGACATGCCGGTTCTAGAAAGAGCTGTGATGTACGTGAAACTCCAGCTTGATGGCCAACGAGGGTGTCATATACACACGTACATCACGCGATTTATATCTATTCTACAAAGATAATATAATTGGCAGCATGATCTGTTCAACTTTGCACTTGGCATATAGGACAACACCAGAATTAGAAATAAACCCACGAGTGAGTGGAGACACCAGAAAAAATGTGGCTACTTTCTACGTGCAACCCAGGGCTGTGTGCATGGCAATAAGGTAAGTCTTGTAATGTGTCTATGGGAACACCAGCATTTTCCAGCTGTGGATGTCCTTGTGAGCGAGCGTCCCCAGAGTTTGTGGGCATCGACTGGGTTCCTGTGCTGGCCTCCTCGGCAGCCTGGCGAGCTGTCCCACTGCCAGTCAGCAACGAGCAGAGCGTCGATCGCACGTCCCCCAGCATGCGATACAAATCTGCGCGAAAGCGGACACCCACAAAGGCGTAGAGCAGCGGGTTGAGGCAGCAGTGCGTGAAGGCAAGCGTCTCCGTTGTCTGCCTGGCATAGAGCAGCGCCTCGTGCGTGCGACAGCCGAGCCACGTTCCACGCAGATCAGCGAGCGCGACGACCAACAGCACCACGTTGTAGGGCAGCCAGCACAGGAAGAAAAGCAGCACCAGGGCCACGATGACACGCACTGCCTTGCGCCTTGAGCCGCGGCTCTTGGTGTGTGCCAGAGTGACCGCAATGCGGATGTAGCAGGCGAGCATGATGGCGAACGGCAGGAGGAAACACGCCGCCGTTTGAAAGACGGCGAGCGCCGCCTTGCGAACATGCCCGCCGGGTCCCGCGTGGAGGCTCTGACAAACTGTGCGCGGTGCGGAGTCGGGGGTGTCCGCTTGAAGCTGCACACGGCTGGAGAGCACATCCAGGAGGCTGAGCAGCATAGCCGCAGACCACGCACCAGCGCAGGCAACCCACGCGCGCCGGCGCCGCCACCGCACCCCACGACACCGCGTGGCGCGCACCACAACAAGGTAGCGGTCCACACTGAGGCACGTGAGCACGAAGACACCGCAGTAGAAGGAGACGCTGTAGAGTGCCGTGGCCAACTTGCATGCCCACTCACCAAACGGCCACTCGCGGGCAGCGTGGCGTGCCCAGAGCGGCAGCGTGGCGACTAGCAAGAGGTCAGCGGCAGCCAGGTTGAGCAGGAAGACTTGCGTCGTGTCCCATGTGCCGCTGCCATTGCCGCGACGCTGCCGTCGAACCAGTACCAGAAACGCCAACCCATTGCCCACAAGGCCCAGGATGAACACGAGTGAATAGAGCACGGGCAGCAGGGTCTGGCCCAGCCGCTGGGCGCTGTCCGAGCACAGCGCACCGCTGTCATCCTCGTAGTCGTCGGTGGGGCCCCACACGGAACTTGAGTCGAGCGGGTTGGCCGTCGTGAAGCCTGAGCTTACGTCCATGGTCTGTGCTGCGAGGGACCGAGACCAAGAAGATGGCAGAGCAGACTGTGTGAGAGGATTCTAACCCCCCTACAGCGACTCATGTTTGCTGGTTTGAGGGGAGCAGTGGCGTGGTTAGCAAGTTGTAATTATGACAAGCCATTGTCATGTTATTATGCTCATTTGTGGCAATCTGAAAATAACAATTAAAAATCATGGTCTTCTTCACATAGGGGCCGTCCATAAATGAAGTCACACAGGGGACGGGAGGGGGGTCAGACATTTGTGACGATGTGTGACGAGGGGGGAGGGTTGAGAAATGTGACGTCACGTCAAAATGCGCAACTTTAAATACATTTTCATTATCAACTATTTGGTTATTTAAATTTACTGAGGTCACTTTTGATTTATTCCATGAAGGAGCATTTTGCTTCTCCATCACCAGAGGATGGAGAAGCAAAATGTATTTTTCTAATGATTGTTATTAAACATCTTTATTTTAATGATTCTACCAGGGCTTTTCATTCTGTGGAATGAATATGTGTAATTGTACTCTCCATTTTGCTTCGTTCTACTACAAAGTTTCAAGTATTTTTTTTAATAGTTATAATTACTTTTAATATTTTATAATTATAAGATAATTTCAATATCATATTCTGAACATCTGCAGTTTTAGTTAGAAGTTGAATATTTTAAAGTGAATTGTATGCTAAATTTCAGCTTTCCAGCCTTTTTAATACGTGTTTTCTCCTACAACATCAGAGTGCAGCGCCACATTAAATACGCACTATAATGACAATAGTTAAAAGTTATTTGAAGCATGTTTTAATTTTCAAAATGGAAATATGGTTTTGGGGGGGGGGGGGCAGAGCTTTGTGACGTCATATTTGAGGGGGGTCTGACTTTTTGTGATGCCGTGTAATGAGGGGGGGAGGGGGGTAAAAAATCGGCCAAAATCGCGTGACGTCATTTATGGACGGCCCCATATCCATCTGCACACAAAATAAACGTATTTTGTACACAATAGCCACACGGCCTTTTTGGAGTGCATAATTTCAGCAGCAGTGAGTCAAAACAAGGAAACTGGACCGGTTTCAACATTCATTGTTGTATTACCTATTTTAAAATGTTTGTGTAATTTATATTCTCTATGACGACGCTAATTGCTATTTTAGTGGGATAATTACGATCTGCGATTAGCATATCAACTGAATAGATAGCAATACTACGGAGAAAATAATATCAGTGTTCTCATGAATGAAGTGATCAGGCAAATCTTGAGACTGCCTCTGCTTGCTCCCAAACCCAACTCGGCTCAACTCCTCTCATCACCCTCTATCTCTGCGGTCATCTCTGCCTGCTACAGTGAACGTAAGCATGTGGCAGGAAGTGAGCGCGCCCGCCTCCTTGTGGCTGTGGTGCCGCGGCACGAATGTCTAAACCCCAACCCGTTTCTGGGAAACTTCAAAGCGAACGCGTTCATGTTGAACTTCATTTGCACCATACGTAGCCAACCGCGCTAATCGGAGGAGCGAAGAACTAATAACAGTACATGCCAGTGCCATATCAAGCCGGTAGAAACAAAGGCTAAAGGGTAAAGTCATAAACAAACACAGGGTGCACCCACCCCCCTTTACAACATTCATCAGCCATTGTTCATCCACAGCTGGATGAATTCCTCATGCCATTGCTATCCTTGACGGTCTTGTGATGCCACAATACACCTCACTCCCGCACATGAGCTGATCTCATAGGTCCATCTCAGCAGTGGTCGTCGCCCTTTCCCCTCTGAGAGCATAATTACATTGTTAATTCTTAGAAAAAGTGTCTAAATATGTCATTGCTTTTAAACGGCATAAGGCATCACTATTTTCCGTAAAAAAGTTTTTTTACAACGATAATTAATATGCTGTTGAACGAACCCGAACACAATTCCTTTGGAGAGATCCAGCCAGGGTGGTAGGGCCAGTCTGTTATTCTATTCTTTCATATGATGGCAATATGTTCAGGAGCCAATGTCGAGGTGTGCTAGCCATGAGAGAGCTTCAGGAAAGAGTTTGTATATTTTTTCGATTCTTCCATTGAAGTAGTGCACAATACAGTGGTTTACTATATGGTCCATAGTTTGGGTTGCATGGCCATTACTGTGGCTTTTCTTGATTTTTATTTATTTATTAAGAAGATATGCGTATTGGCCTGATGATGTTCTGATGTGATTGATTGTTCTACCAGTGATTGATTGTTACACCATTGTTAGCCAGCGTTCTTATGGATCTGAGTGATATTCTGAGATGTTACAGCATGACGCCATCTGGTCCAACACCATGTGAGACTAGGCTCTTAGGAAAGCTGTCTCGGGTGTGGACCAATCAATTTCAAGGGCAGTGCATACATTATCAGAGTTATGTTTTTTGTTTGCATTCCGACCCGCAGGTATTGCGGTCAATGCAAACATGACTCCTTGTAAAAAAAGTGTCAGTTTGCTGCTAGATAAAAGGGTAAAAAAACAATTATCATATTTTTCTACTGGCAAAGGAGATTCCAATGATGTTACAGCATGATTGGAGAAGGGGGATCGGCTGAGGTACATTTTTATTGTAGTTGGCAAGAAAACGTCCAAACTCCTTTGAAGTTTGCATGTCTGCAGATATTTGGTGATAGAATATTCACCAGAACAGGGAGCCAGGGGACTGGTGTCAGGTTCAGTTTCCGGTTATGATGCGCATTGCGTTTTCTAAATTGTATCTGGCAGTGTTGTGTATGAGTTCCTGGACCAGGCTGGAGTGCAGTGACTCTGTCACTGAGTAGATCATCAGTGAGAGGGCGGCAGGTTGCAGCGCATCAGCTGAGGTGTCCCCGGGTCGTTCCTGTTTCTGTAGCAGGGCGATTTTTCATGTGTGAAGGTGAGGCTTCTATCCATGATAGCCCCTAGATTCCTTGAAGTGTGGTTATAGCGCAATGGGCTACTACACAGAGACACAGCAAGGGTGGCATTTGCTGCATGATTCTACAGGTGGTGTTTCCAGAGACGGTAATATGCCTCCAATAATAACGTGCTTAGCTGTGCAGAAACGGCTATGTCATCTGCACATGAAGTTGGGAGATTTATGTACATGGCAGGTCACTTATGTTCAATGTTAAATAGTGCTAGTACCAAGCATTGATGGAAGGTCATTGTTCATGGATGGGAGACCAGAGACTTCTCGCGGTGGCCCACCTCTTACGTGATGTTGTTGTGACCTTAATTACAATGAATGCCGTAATCTAGGTGAAATGGATGTTGCTAATTTGAATCCAGATATGATCAGTCTATGTGGTTGCTGGCAAGGATCATGGTCTCCCAGCTACACGTAGGAGGAAATAACAGGAGAGATGTGGTCGTCCTTGCACATGAAGATTAGATTTGCCTGTTTCATTTTCTGGAACCAGGGATTTAGAAACAACAAAACATGTACCCCCCCCCCCTTCCCCCAGTTTTTTGCAACTCATTCGTGTTGCTTGTTGTGAGCATATGAGTCTAATCAACAAATTGACTCATCAACGATGTTACTGTGGGTGATGAATGGCAGACTTGGGGCCATGGCTCATGGAACAGCAGCACCTGCTTCTGCAGCTGGCGAGTCTCATATGCTTGGGGCCACAACCGAAGCATCTTGCGACTTTAAAGTAGCCAACAATTTCATTTCTAAACAATTTTTTTAAAAAATCTCATGATTAACACCGTAGAGCGTCGTTTATACCAAATCTCAATCGCTGAGGAACCACAGACAAGCTAGAAGGTTTTAAGGCGATGAGTCTGTGCCAACTATTGCTCTGCCATTCTCTATACATTAAAATGTTTTCAGCCAATTAGTGAGTGTTTATACGTGAGAGGAAATCAGAGCACCTGGAGAAACCCCACGCATGCGAGGGTGTAACATTGTCCCATACAGAAGGGACAGATTATATAAGTTTGCATTATTCTGTACTGTATTCTGCTGGCAAGCCAAGGTACAGTGCTTCGATACCCATGTAAGTAATTTTTGCACCATTTGTATTTTGTGCAATTTTCCAACCCTTTTATCCACAGTGCTGGATGACAGGCATGCAGTACCACCGCCTGGGATGTGCAGAGGCCAACAACGCAGCGCATAAATGATGCCGTACGGCCATGAGCTTCATAGCATGCTCAGAGAATCTCCCCAAAGTCTACACAGTACGAGGTTCTGCTGGTTGGTACCCAGGCTCAGGCGAAAAAAAATTGTGGGAAGATCAGGTGTCGGCAGTTGTAGACTCCAGGATTCAGTTTTGTACTCTTCTAAAATCCTCGGCACCATAGACCAGCATATGTTGCGTGATTACCACGTGCAAAATATAGCCAGCACTTTCCATTTTCATATTAGTGCTCTACAACACATTCAATAACTAATGAGTCGGGACATAGCCAACACGGTGGAATGTAGCATAGTATCGACAAGCCTCAATTGTTGCAACTCACTACTCTACGGGACGTCTGGCAAACACATTACCAAGCTGAAGCATGTACAAAATTATCTGGCACGTGTCACGACGGGTACTGCAAGATCCGACCATGTCCGTTCAGTGCTCGCCGAGCTGCATTTGCTTCCAGTTGCCGAACGAATACATTATCAGGTCGCACTCAATACACAAGCTGCTTTCCACAAGTGAACCACAATACTTTGCTGATCTTGGAAAGGAACATAAACCACCGCAACTTCCGGTCATCCTCGCATCAGCTTTTGGCTCGCCATCGAACAAAGACGGTCACCACATCGCACGTTTTCAAATGCACTTCTGCGGCTGTCTGAAATCCTCTTTCTTCTGATATTAGAAAGCCACTGAAGCTATGCACTTTTAAATAGAGATTGAAAGCTAATTTCTTTATAACTGCTTTTCATGTTTAACTTGTTGTCCTTCCCCCGCACCTTTGATTAGCACGGTGGCTACCTTATGAAATAAGTTCAACATACCAACGAGTGGGAGTCACCTGGCTGGGCAGAACACCTCTCATATGGTCACAATGTGCAAAATCCTGGCTCTTTCTCTCACAATACAAACATAAATGGAAGTGGTGGATTATG